CGTGTGCTGCTCTGGTTCGCCAGAAGCGGCTTAGTCATGCTGGCCACATGACCCGGAAGCTATACGCCGGCTCCCTTGGCCAATAAAGCGAGATGAGCACCGCAACCCCAGAGTCGTCCACAACTGGACCTAAAGGTCAGTCGTCCCTTTACCTTTTACTAGGGAAAGAATCATAGAGGACCTTGACCTCTTGTTTATGCGTGCTTTAAGTGATCTCTTTACCAAAAATGGAGGCAGGGAGATGAGTCGGGAAGATTGAAAAGATGTCCGTCTCTGAGGGATTGTACATGGCATCCAGTTGAGACTAGCCTTTGGATAGTCTTATGCCATACTGACTTGCTTTTATTTTTAGCATTGTGCTGTTAAAATTGTCACCCAAGGCATGCTGATAGGGATTTTGCAGGGGGTATGTGTGTGCAATGGCCCATTTAGTTCAGCATTCTGTTCTCTCAGTGGCCAAACAGATAGATGCAAGCAAGCAGACCCCCTGAGCTCAACAGTGCTCTCCCGCTCCCCTCCTCGGTTTACAGCAACTGGTATTCAGAAGCATATTGTCTCTCACCATGGAGAGCCATCGATAGTCTATGCTTCTGCTTTGCTACAGGTCTCCGACATTCCCTGTGGGCTTCCCTGGTGTCAAATAATAGGGAAGGGACAGCTGAGAGCAGGGCAGATAGATGGCCTTGTTGCGTTGGGTAATGCCTGTTTGCATCTATGTTTTAAAATGAGTGAATTTGGAGGTTTGTTTTAAAATAAGACGTTGTCAATGCTAACACGAGAAGTCCCTTCTCCACAATATTAAATAAGTAAGCACAGGCTGGGGAAACTAACTGTTTACTCGCCATCCCTCTCCCCCCGCCAGCTCACTCCAGTGGCAGCACACTTGAGAAGTGTAAATACTGCCTGGATTCCCAATCTACAGATCGTAAAACATGACCTTTTGTCAGAGGATCGGTGGAGGATCTTAGATGGCTCAGAAATTTCCAGCCCAGAAGCACTTGAAAAGGGAGATTATTGAAATACTCCAGATAGTGACATTGTCTCGGATGATCTCCAAATTCATATTTCTTTTATCGGGAACGAGCGGGTGTGAGAAATCTCACCTTAATGCACACTATTACCATAGCTGTGCCCCTATTATACTATTGTAATCGGGTCTGAACCAAGAGCAGTGATTAACGATGGCAATTTATTGTATCTGACGAGGGGAGAAAATGGGAGATGTTGTCGTTATCATAAATCATATCATAAATAACCAAATAGAAGCCCTCAGAAAGCTTGTGTGGTGTCAGCAATGAGGCACTTTTCGGCGCGTTCGCCCAGGATGGTAGCCATAGAAACCCCAAAGTCATATTGTTATCTTAGTCTTGCTGCAGTTATGTGATACAACCATATTAACATATAGATTAGGCCATTTATAATACTAGGTGTCATTTCAGGTTAGCTTGCTTATATAGCATTTTAGGGCTCTCTCCTTTTCATTCTGCAGAATGTTAGGGAAAGGCTGCGTTTTCGCAGGTCAGTCTCGAGCCATTTATAACCCATCAGCGTCACACAACTGTCAGCCCAGTTAATATACTCCTGTTATTGATTGGTTGCAGTGTGCAAGTTGTCACTGCCTAATTACCTTGTCTTTGCTAATAATTTCATTTTTAACAGGGGGGAAAAATGAAATATGTTTAAACAAGGAATATAGTGCATATACTTTACTGAGTTCTTTGGTCTAAGAAACCCAATTTATTGCCAAGGTGCAGATGGGGGGGGGGGAGAGCCTGTTGCAAACATCCTAGGAAAACTTGCTCAGCTTTGCAGTTTGTTTGTTTCTGGTGCTTTTTGACTCTGTGCTGTCCCGTCCGTCCCCCCCGGTTGGTTTTTGCTCTTCTTAAGGTGAGATGCAGTGTAGGCTGCAGCTTGCAGAGGAAAAAATATGATGATGAGCAACTGGACTGTTGCCAGCATAGCAAATGAAATTATTTAGAATTATATGGGATTTGTGCATAGCTTCCTCTCTCTCTCTCTCTCTCTCTCTCTCTCTCTCTCTCTCTCAGACACACATACTCTCTCTCTCTCTCTCTCTCTCTCTCACACACACACACACACACACACACCATGTTTTCACATTTCTTCCTTTAAAATCAAACTCTGCAACTCATGGATGATCTCTCTTCTCCGGTTTACAAACCTTAATTGAGCCATCGGCTCACCAGGGATATCGGGCAAGCGACTAACTCAGCCATTGCACCTCTCCCCCTTGCCTCCACGAAAAGAACCTGCACTATGGGGATAACAATACTGGCCTACCTTGCAGGATTATTGCAAGGAACTCTGGGTTAAATACCATATTTTTCCGTGTATAAGACGCCCCCGTGTATAAGACGCCCCCTATTTTTTGAGCCCAAAATTAAGAATATTTAATTGCAACATTCTGTGTGTGTAAGACGACCCCCAATTTCAAACTTTTTTGAGGAGGGGAATATAGTCTTATACGTGGAAAAATACAGTATATATGAGACATTTTAAACACTTTAGCACACTACATAAATGCTGTAGTGTTGTTGTTGTTGTTGTTGTTGTTGTTGTTGTTGCTGCTGCTGCTACTGGAAGCTTGCATCAAATTCCTGTTCAGCCAGTCCCAGTGTTCTCTGCCCATCTCTCTGTGTCTCCCTTTCCCATGTGAGCCCAGTCAATCATCTGCCGCCCAGTGTCCTTTTCTTTGCACGCTGTCCCCATGTCTGGCATGTATATGGGGCCTACCTGTATCTCCTGTGTACCACCCATTTATCTCCCTCCCTTTCTCATTGCCCTTTTGTCACTGTTGGGCTGCATTTTCCATGTCTCTTGCATGTGTGTTGCTCATCACTGTGTATCTCTTGCATACTGCCGTCAATTTCTTGCTCTCTCCAAGGTATGTGGTGGTCATGGCAAGGCTTCCCCAACCAAAGTAATGTATAGCACAACATGATTTATTTATTTTTTTAAGCAAAGCTGGGTACTCTTAAAGCACAGTGTAAATGCATGATGGTGGTTTTGGTTGTTACTGTATTCTTATCACATTTGTCAGCTGAGGGCTCTTAATGGTACCAAACAGGAAAAACAACAACCCATACCAGTATTTTGGCACTACCATGCAATAATATATTTCCCCCCTCTCTCTTCAGAAGCTACCCATGCAGAAATTAATTCTGTTTGTTTTTTACATTCAGGCTTTTCTGCTCTGCGTTATCCCTTATGGTTAAGGGCAAATAGCAAAGTTTTTAAACCCAAGTTAAAAAAAATAAATCTACAGTCGGTTTACCTTCTGATGTTTAAAAGTCTTCTTTAAAATGAATTCCCTGTTTGGGAACTCAAGAAGATATTTAAAAAAAAGAAAAGTGTGTGCACACACAAGCCAATAATTACATCTGCAGGACCTCTAGCTGTGAAAACTTGCAAAGGGGAGGCATGCAAGTTGACGTTTTGCTAGTCTTACGCTGCTGTCTATTGTACTGTAATATTTTTTATGATCTTTATGCTTTTAAATGTGTATACTTCTTGCGTGGTTTCCCAGCAGGAAATTACTAAGTAAATAAATAGTAAAACAAACCAGGTAGCCTCAGCCAACCTTGCAGACAAGTAAGAAGCAACTTATCACTACTGCGCTCCCCCCAGGAGCTTGAGCAGTGACTTGCCCAGAAGAAATTGGTAGTTTTTCTCTTAGTGAATGACTAACCCACAGCCTTGGAGCAAGTAAACCCTGCACAAATCCAGAGCGGAGTCCTTAAGATGGCTGGATGGTGCCTTGTACACCTCCTTCCGGCAACTCCTGCAGCCAAACTGTTGTCAAACATCGTGCTCTGTTTTCCTTTGGACCACATCAGTGAGTCTGAGGGGGGGGTCTTATCACTTAGACAGCCCAGGACCTCCATATGCATGAGCCCCGGAGGGGTCACTTAGGTGCTGCTAGGGGAGCGTTTAGGAATTACTGGCCTCTGCAGCCACAGCAGACGCTGTGATTCTCCAGTGGTTTGACTTCACCCCAGAGGCACACTCAGTTGTCTCTTGAGACAGATGGATGCCAAGAACAACAACAAAGGCACAGTGGTACCTTGTGTTGAGTAACCTCCAGGTTACAGAATCTTCGGGTTATGGCCGCGGCAAACCTGGAAGTGGGTTTGCTGCTTGTGCGTGCGCAAAAGCGGTCCTCTGGTTACGGAAGTTTCGGGATACGGCCAGGCCTCCAGAACGGATCCTGTTCATAACCGGAGGTACCACTGCATTCATATGGCACCTCAGAGTGTTCCAGGGACTTCACGTTATTTTGTGAGCCTTTTAACAACCCTGTAAGCTAGGTCCCATATTGCAGTTGAGGAGTTGAGGATAAGCGAGTATACCTTAATTTAAGCCGATGGAGAATTCACAACAGAGATGGGATTCAAGCCAGCAGCTTCCCCATTCATAGCTCAAATCTCTTTACTGTTACAGTGCAGCATCTCCCTGTCACAGGAGCTGCCAGTCAGCTGGCATTCTTAAAAGACCAAGGATCCTAAGGGATCCTTCATTGGTTACTACAGAGATTCAGGAACCAACATGCCATGGCTTTTTCCCCATGTTGCCATCATAGCACTTGGGAATCTGACCCATGTTGGGGTATGTTTGTGTGGAAACAGCTGTGTAGGCCCTTTGCTCCATGGGAGAGGAAGTTAAAAAATGTTGATTTATGGTGTTGTTTAGAGTGATGTTTTAAATGTTGCCCATTCTAAATCTTCATTTAAAACCTCCTTCCTAAAGTTAGGCCTAAGTCTGAAAGTCTTATTTTCTGTTTAGGCAAAGGGTGAGAGCCAAGCCAAATATTCATACGCTCCCAAATTTTGATCTGCAAGGCTAATTTTCCATGTTCTAAATAAAGTTCTGTTACTGTTCATCCATATTACTGTTTTATGCTGCTTTTAAGTCTCACTGATGTGCTAAGTAGGGCTAAGCCATCTACAGTATCACTCCTCTGCCTTTAGTTTCAATGCAAAGCATAATAGCTCAGTTGGTAGAGCATGAAACTCCTAAACTCGGGTTGTGGGTTTGAGTCCCACGTTGGGTGAACGTTTCTAGATCTCTCAGTTATTAGCCATGAGTGCTTGATGCTGAGAGACTACAGTGGTATTTGTTTGCAGATAAATATGGTGGCAGTTACATAAGCCTGGAGAGAAAGTTCCTAGGAATTCTAAGATTGTGACAAGTCTTTAGAAGTGTAAATTGATTTTAAGTAAGATGGAAAGGTGTGAGAAAATGCAACTGCTTACAATAGGTGCTGTCGAAACTAATTTTACTAGATTCCATTTCCCCCTGTTAAGGCAGCAACTATCAGATGAGTACTGAGGATTCCAGCCCAGGTTTCTGGGGTTCTCCAAAATGAGAATCTCAATGTGCAGGGAATACTTTGAATGACCACTATCCCACTGCCCCAGGGGTGGGGAACCTCAACCCTAGGGGCCAAATGTGGCTCTCCAGGCATTTCTATCTGGCCCCCAGGACTACCCCCAGGCCACATACCCCCTCATCAGGCCACGCTCCTCACCAGCCCTTATCCCACCCTCCTTGAATGTGTGCTTTGAACTATGATCATGCCTACTGCTTACCTGGGAAGAAGTAGTGGGAAACTCTTCTCTTTTTTTGCATGGTTGGAATGTGTTTTTAACATTCTGTTGGGAGCCTCCCAGAGTGGCTGGGGCAACCCACTCAGATGGCTGGCATATAAATAATAATAATAATAATAATAATAATAATAATAATAAGTTGTTGTTAGTCCATCACCCTGCACACTTCTGCTTTTGGTTCCACTGCAGAAAGTTGCCCATCTTGGAATTCATCCCTTGGGTAGAAAGAGGCCCACACCTCTCTGCTACAACATCACTAATATCGGCTAACATTTTGCTTGCTCAACTCAGGCCTTTAGGAAGTGTAAGACACTCCATTGCAGCCTGCCCCCATCCCATGCCATACAAAATGGCTAGGATTTCTTCCTCTCTCTAATAACTGGCTTCTTGTGAGCTGCTGTCAGATTGTTGGATTGTAGCACTGCATTCATTCAGGGTATAACCTGGAATTATTTATCAGCTGTCCTGGGTATTGAAGAGTTGGAATGCACAATTACTCAAGCCTAGTGCTCACGAAGAACAGGTGAAGAGGTAAACGTGTTTTGAGGCTGGCTGCAGGTGGGGGCTCATAGGATCAAATCCTCCTGCATCCAGAAATATTTCCTGCACACGGAAAACTAGCATATCAGAGAGAAGAATTCCAACTTACCTTAGTCTTTCCCCTGACATTTGGGTTTCTGCACGTACGGTGCGTTTATAGTCACCCAGAGAACGTGAGTTATAGGTAGCCTATAAATCGTATTCATAAATAGAAGAAAATTTTGTATTTTGCTGCGAAGGAACATTATCATGTGAAAGCTCACCTTTCGTCTGAATTGATACAATCTAGAAAGAGGTTTAGCTTTTCAGATGCTCTTGTTAAGAACGCAAGATGCCTAGAATATCTTTGGCTTTTAGTAGGCCTGTCAACATCTGTCTGAAACACCTTTTAGAGGACTTGTTAATAACTCTTGATGGACTGTCGGAAGGAGGAGCTATTGAATGGTGTTTTTGCTGGTAATCAGAGGTATCTTCTGAAGCGGGCTAGGGGAATCATAGTTACTTGGGCCCCTTGGAATTTGATGCAGGGAACTAAGCAACGCGGAGGCATTTTTCCAGGCCTGCATTGGGCTGACATCTATAACTTGGAAGCTGTTCCCTATGAATTTGAAATGTTTTTCCAGCACCAACACTCATTCCCCTCTTAATTCATACCATTATAGGGCAAGAAAGCATATTTCATTCCCATAATAGATCAGATAATGATTGAACCAGATTTGAGAAACCTGCAGCACAAAAACTGGCGGTTCAGTCTATTTCTAGCAGGTGCCGACTCAGTCAAGAGTGATTTGCTTTTGCTTTCTCTTTTTTTAAGAGACAGAAATGTGCATGCCCATCCAAGCAAAACTGAACTGCCTAACACTTTTCTGTTTTTCACAGAAGGCTAAGGCTTTATCCCCGGGCAAAGTCTCCACTCTGGACTGGCTGCTGTAAATCCTCTGGGCCTTGGCAAAAGCTTGACTTGTTAGCTCGTTTTACTTAATTTGTGATGCTGGCACTCATTCGTGCTTCAGCCCAGGGCTCTTGACTCAACTCTCCTAAATCGGGGCATTGACACATTTTAGAGGGAAGAAACATCCCCTCCCATAGCCTGAAAGGAAACTCTTCCAAATGAGATTCTTTAAGTTGGATTCAGAATAAAGGAAGACTTTGCACGGTTTCAGAATAATATTTTATTTTATTTTAAAAAAATGTTTGTTAAAATAACAAAATTGCATACTCATTCCTCCTTGCAGCCACCTCCCGAAAACCGAATAATTCTGGGTATTCCTCACTAATAGCATCTACTGGTTGCTTCCATGCTGGAGTTTTTAAAATTCTTGCAATTACTAAGCTTCAAAAGCAGCCTCTTGGTGAAAGAGGATAAATGAGGGCCGTTATATAGTTAAGCGAAAGACAAGTGTGTACTGCACCCACTAAGGTTGCTAAGGTCAAGCCAGACAGACTTTTGTTTTATGAAGTTGGGTAAATGAATATACAGAGGTTATTTAACAGTAGTAGAGCTAGAAAATCATTTTGTGACTGAACCGTTGGTTGTGTCCAACCAAGTGCTACTCAGAGTAAACCTGCTGAAATTAATGGACCTAAATTAATCTCATTCTTTGATTTCAGTTGGTCGAATCTGAATATGACTAACCTGCCTCCCTGGGCTCCTTTGGGAGGAAAGACAGGGTGGGGGGACGTTAAATACAAATCCATGTAGCTACATTGATTTTTAAAAAAGCTACATACCCTGACATAAACAAAAAGTGTCACATATTAAGGGACGTTTGATTATAGATGACCAGCTATATTTTCTTGCCGCTACATACATAAATGTATATATATATTCTTGTGATTGTATCCAACGCTGATGTTTTGCTCATGCAGCAGACTTTCGTTTGCACAATGGACTGTTCCTCCTACTTTCCCCTGCAGCTTCCTGCACACATGCAAAATCTGTTCTAGACAATTGGGGGACACTCTGGAACAGATATTTAGGGGTGCTTAGGGAGAGAACCCCTGGGAGAGAAACGGGAAATCCTGCTGTGCTAGTGAAAGTCCACTCACACAGCGCTGGATAAAACTCACGGTGGTCAACCTGAGTTGTTTATGTTTTGCTTTTGGTTTATTTGGTCCGCTCTTCCTTCCTTGCTACTTTACACGTAACTTCAGTGAAACTCAGTAAAAATAAGATTTCTGGTTGGTTGGTTGGTTGGTTTGAGGAAGGAAATAAGACATTTCTCTTTCTCTGAGGATATATATTTCCTTGGCCCACTAGCAAAATCCAGCACACCTAGAATTTCTCCTCTGGTTGTGGTATTTTGATCCAAAGAAGCAGACAATCACTTGACGTGGAGGGAGATGCTGCAATTGGCTCCAATTGAAATGGTAGAGGTAATGGATTAAAAAAAATAGCAGTAGAAAAATTGCTTATGGGCCACAATTTGAGAATGGATTTCTCTGAAAATATGAAAAAGATACTATATACAGTGGTACCTCGGGTTACATACGCTTCAGGTTACATACGCTTCAGGTTCCAGACTCCGCTAACCCAGAAATAGTGCTTCAGGTTAAGAACTTTGCTTCAGGATGAGAACAGAAATCACACGGTGGCAGCAGGAGGCCCCATTAGCTAAAGTGGTGCTTCAGGTTAAGAACAGTTTCAAGTTAAGTACGGACCTCTGGAACGAATTAAGTACTTAACCTGAGGTACCACTGTATGTGTGTGTGTGTGTGTGTGTATGTATATATATATATGAATAAAGTGCTGTTGTGTACTATTTAATCTGTATACTGTATCTGATAAGTGAAATGCTTTGTTTTTGTACATTTCTTAAACCGAGTCATTCAGACCATGTGAGCTTACTTCTTGTGATCTCTTTATAGAAAGTTGTGCCGTTGTCTGAAGTAAGCTAACAACTTTCCCTTTGCTTGTTTCTTGCAACAGAGGAAGAGGAAGAGCAGGTGCCCACTGATGGCGGGACTTCAGCAGAAGCCATGCAAGTACCTTTGGAGGAAGAGGGAGAAATGGAAGAGGAGGAGGCTGTCAACGATGAAAACTACTTGAGCAAGAGGCCATTAGAAAGTCCCGAATCTGAGGAAATGCCTGCCACCAAGCGGCCAAAACTAGCTAGCGTGAAAGGAGATAGTCCAGACGGGACGGTGGAACCGCGTGAGCCTCTTAGTTCCATCAATGCCCAGAAGGTGCCACCCATGCTTTCCCCGGTTTGCGTTCAGGATGGTGCTGATGTGGCTCCTCTCTCTCCAGAACCACCCGTACTGGCTCCCATTGCAAAATCGCAGTTGCCAGTTTCCAAACCGTTGGAGCCGAGAGCGTTTACACCTAAAGCAAAGGTGAAAACGAACTCCCCAGGGCAGAAAACGAAGGCGCCCAAAGTTCCTCCATCACCAGCAGTGGCCGGAAGCCCCATCCGCTCTCCAAAAACTGGACCCAAAGAGAAGAAATCGCCGGGCCGATCCAAGAGCCCCAGAAGTCCTAAGAGTCCAAAGGTTCCGGTTCATGTCCCTCAGGTAGCAGTTAAGCAGGAGACCCCGAGTAGAACGCCCTTGGCAGCGTTAAGTGAAAAGATGGGGAAAGAGAATATCCAAATAAAACAAGGGCCAACCCCCGTTGACCCTGGGAAACCAAACAGTGAGAATCCGGCGAAGAAAGTGGCCGTGCTCGACAAGACAATTGACGATTCCATTGATGCTGTAATTGCTCGTGCTTGTGCTGAACGGGACCCGGACCCATTCGAGTTTTCCTCAGGGTCAGAATCGGAAGGGGATGTTTTCACTAGCCCTAAAAGACTGTCTGTGTCAGAGACTACAACTCCCAAAGCTTCTGTTTCTGCTAACAGCAGCTTAAATAAAGCAGGAAGCACCCCAGTTCCTCCCTCTGGTGGAACGTCAAGCTCAGACATTTC